AAAAAAAAAAAAAAAAAAAAAAAAAAAAAAAAAAAAAAAAAAAAAAAAGAAGGCATCTTTTAAATCTAGGACAGTATACCATTCTTTATCTGGAAGGAGCATAGGGATTGGGCACAGTGGGGTGAATGTCCATTACCCTTTTGTTAACTTCTCGAAGGTCTTGGACAGGGCGGTAGTCATTCGTCTGTGGCTTTTTAACCGGTAGGAGCGGTGTGTTCCATGCAGACTGAATGGGCCGCAAGACTCCCTCTTGTAGGAGTCGTCTCACATGGGGGGTGATTCCCTTTTTGGCTTCCAGGGTCATGGGGTACTGGCGGACCTTCACTGGGTCTGCATTGGTCTTAAGTTCCACATAGACTAGGGGTCTATGTTTGGCCAACCCCATTCCCCCTGTCTCAGCCCACGCAGTGGGGAATTGTTGGAGCCAGATCTGCATGTCTGCACATTTGATGGAGGACCACTCTTGTTCATGGAGGTGGTATTCTTCCTCCAAAGGCATTGTCAAAAACACTCCAATAGCCCTCCCATCAGGGTGTTTGTCTTGAGCACCCTTATCAGTGAAATGGATCTGTGCCTTCATTTTAGGCAGCAGATCGCGCCCCAGAAGAGGGTATGGGCATTCAGGAATGACGAGGAATGAGTGGGTTACCCGTCCCACTCCCAAGTCCACTGTTCTTCGGGTAGTCCATTGGTAAGGTTTACTGCCCGTTGCTCCCTGTACCCAGGCTTGTTTTCTTGACAGGGGTTCCCCGGGTGTCAAGAGGACTGAACTTTCCGCACCCGTGTCCACCATGAAGTGGACAGGTTTCCCCTCCACTCTTAGAGTTACCCTAAGCTCGGGAAGGGGGGCCGAGCCCCATCCTCCCTAGTCGCTGTCTTCATCCAGGGCGGCAAGGATGGAAGTTGGCTTCCTTCCTAGTCCCACTGACATTTTTCTCTTGCTCCTATTTTTAGGGCATTCCCTAGCCCAGTGTCCTTCTTCCTTGCAGTATGCACACTGGTTCTTTCCTAGCTTAGGCTGGGACCTTTTCCCCTTCTCATAGCTTCCTGCTTCTGCAGCCAGGAGCACTCTCTCCATCTGTGTCTGTTGCTGTTGCAGTATCTTGGTCAGGCTCTTCTCTTGCCTCCTCTCTCTCCTGTCCTCTCTCTCTCGACGACGTTCTCTTTCCCTTCTCTCTTCCTTTTGTTCCTCTGTCTCTCTTTTGTTATAAACCTTTTCCGCCACTGCCACTAAGTCCCTCAGATTCCTCTCCCCTAGTCTTTCTAGCGACTGTAGCTTTTTCCTAATATCTGGTGCTGCCTGGTTCACATAGGCTAGAATAACTGCTGGTTGGGCTTCCTCAGACTCTGGGTTGTATGGGGAGTACTGCTTGAAAGTCCCCATCAACCTCTCTAAATATGCAGCTGGACTTTCTCCATCCCCCTGCCTTACATCATAAATTTTTGCCATATTAGTAGGCTTGCGTGCAGCAGCCTTGAGACCTGCCAACAGAGCCTGGCGGTAAACACGGAGACTCTCCTTACCTTCTGCCATATTATAGTCCCAGTTAGGGCGAGTGGATGGAAAAGCAGCTGTTGCCAAGGCAGGATCCACTAGGGGGGCACCCGTGGGTCCTGGAACTAGCTTCCGAGCATTCTCCAGAATCCAGTTTCTCTCCTCCGTGGTGAAGAGGACTCCCAATAGTTGATTTACATCATCCTATATGGGCTGGTGAGTTAATAAAACTGTCTCCAAAAGGTTAGTTAAGTCTTGGGGGTCCCAAGAGAATGGCACATTTTGAGCCTTCCAGTTATACAGGCCACTAGTGGCGAAGGGCCAATAGTGAAAGGGTTGGTTCCCTGCCTCGTCCGGGGGCCCAGCAGGCCTAAGGGGAAGGGCCACTGTGGTGTCTGCCTGGGGAGTTCTCCCCTTCTATTGCGGGTAGACTGTGCTGGCCCCCTTCCTCAGCTCTCGATGGCTGAGGCTCCTGGGCTTCCTTCATAGGCGCCGTAGGATGGACCTGGGGAGGGGAAGAATAGGGAGGTGGAAAGAGTTCTGCTTCAGGGGTCCCCCCCTGAAACACAGCAGTGGGCCTCCTCTCCATTTCTTGGCCCGCTTGGGAGCTCTTGGGCCTGGTGGCCAGGATCTGAGTGCCTGGAACCTGTTGTGGGGGTAAGAACGGTTTAACCCAGGGAAGGGGTCCCTCCTCCCTGTCTATCAGGCCCCTCCAGGTAACAATATAGGGGACTTGGTCAGGGTGGCCAGAGCGGGGGCGGGGGACAATTTCCTCCACTCAAAGGTTCCGCCTGCCGGCCACCTGCCGTTGAAAGTGGGCCATTCAGCTGAACAAAATTAACCCATCTTCGCTTCTTGATAACCACATTGTTGTTGCTGGCAGTCTCTTGAACATCCTGCCAGTGAGCAAGAGTTAAGTCTAGGGGTGAAGACAGAGTATTCCCCATAGTAGAGTGAGAAAATTGAAGATAAAATCCAAAGAAAAGAGAGAACAGCAAAACCACAACCACAATAAGACACAAAAAGACTTTAGCAATTTCCCGGGACAAAGTACGAATTGGCATTTCCTATCACAGAATAATAAAGTGTATGAACCAAGGAGTTTCGTGTACATAGATTCATTTCTTCCCATTAAAGATTAATTATCAGCTGGTTGTAGATTCTTCCCGGACCCTGGGAGGGGACTATCGAGGGGCTGGACCCCCATAGTCCCCGATACCTGGCGCCACGAACAGACTTAACTGTTTAGGTACTCAGGGGACTGATAGGAAGTAAGTTTTGGAGCATATCCAGGGAGAGAGGTGTCGCTTCACAGAGGGTTGCCCAGTTAGAGGCTCAACTCTTGGAGAGGTACGATTTTGAGAGATCTCTGGAGCATCAGCTACAATCAGTCCTCACCGAAGGATGCTGCAGATCCCGGGGACACCGACCCCCCCGTTTGGATCGGTGAGTAGCTATGAACACCCCCCCCCCAAATAGTCAGAATGAGTCTGAAGAGAAACAGCTTCTGATAGAAGTTACAGGACACAGGCTTAAGACAAAAGGCACTTCAGCCAACTCCAGTCAGTTTACAAGCTTAAATAAGGAAACAACAGACTATCTTAATCCCATAAGGCCTCCTAAAAAATGTATGGAAAGATTTAGGAGACCCCTAAAAGCTGCCAACCTTATGAAATTAATTTACCATCAGACTGTGATAAGCGTCAGAGATTTTAACCCCTCCCTTTTTAGGAGAAACCTGCCATTACTTCATTCAGGGTCTTACAAGGAGGTAACACAATATTAGCACACCACAAGACCTCCTGAGAGCTTAAACTAGAGCTATGAAGTTCACTATGTACTCCATACTAGCAGCAGCATCCTGCTACAAACAGCCTTTCTTGCTAAAATTAATTGAAATCCGAAGGCAAACTTGAGCTGTAAACTTCTAATTGCTAACCAGAAGCTCGATCCAGCAGCCTTCATTTAAATAACTGTGCAAGTCTCACAGCCTGAGCCGGTTTAAAAACTAATGGCAACTTCTAACTCTCCTAAAAAAAAAAAGTGTTCTTTTCTCTCTCTCCTCTTTCTGGGTTGGCTTTTAAGTTCTTGGTAATTTACAAAAATCTTGGCCAAGTACAAGAACTTTAGTTAACCCATTTCAAAAAACAGGTCCTGGTTAGGGGACGCCCTACTACGACTGTATGGATTCATCAGACCCCGGAAGACGTCTGGGGGCCGGAATCCTAAACATCTGCCTTCTTCCCTCTGAACCTAACTATCTGCTATCTGCATCTCAGCTCACTTGGGCTTTTGAGTCATCTCCACCCTTCTCCTCACCTTGCCATTCCCGGTGGCTGGCTGGCTTGATACAGACTGGACAAACAGGCTGCAGCTGCTACAAAAAAAAAAAAAATTCCTCCTCCTTTGTTTTAGTTTGGGCCTGTAAATTTACTGTGCTTATCTCATTTCATGATACACCTTAAAGGATTTATATTTTTGAATAAGAGTTCCTGTTTCTATATTAAAATAACTTCAGTACAAACTTAATATTTTTAAGGCTAAACTGACAGGTATAAAACCAAAGTTCTAAGCTTATAAGGGCAACTAACTTATAAATTGTTAAGAATAAGTTTACTTTAATTAAAGATAATTAAGAAATAAAACTTATTGATTGGCCGACCTAAACTGTAAACTGTTAAGGATAAGTTGTACTTAAGCTATAAGCTATTAGAGATAATTATTAGGATACAAATTGAGGGTTAATCTCTTATAAATGATCAAATTCTCTAATGTATGCAAAATCATATTTATATACATGCTATGTATGCTAAATTTCATATAATCAATTTATTACTTAGCCCCCTAGCATTTAAAATGTTTAAGCCTTGGACAAAACTGCCATACCCTTTATTGCCAGGGTTTTTTCCAAACTATGCTTTGAGATAATTTAAATTATATTTCCATTTATCAGGTTTAAAGATAATTTGCCTTACTATCCAATTTCAAGTAAAAGATAGCTCACCTAACATATTTCAAAATGACATAGATGCTTTTTGATGTAAAGTTTTTATAAAGGGATATAAAGGTTTAGATATAGAAAATGTTTAGGAAAATTAAAAAATAACTTATGATATATGAATTGCCAGTTATTAGGATAGATCAATGTAACACATAAACATCTAGATGTTATTAATGATATATGAATCTCAGTAATAACCTAGAGATACTGAGGATGTATGCCTAAATTAGATCTATGGATAAAGTTTTTATTGAGGTCTGAGATATATAAGCTTAAGGAATGGACTTATATGCCTTAACACAAGAGTCTGGACCTCCCCAGAAGGGACACTGGGGCTAAACATAGGCTGTAGCTCCTCTGCTATACAAGGTAAAAAATTGTCCCAGTAAAAGTTGATCCTGACTTTACTAAAGAAATTAAGATTATTGTACAACTCTCTACAAAACAATTCAGATTCATGCAGGGCAGCGCCTAAGGGAGCTGCTGGTGTGGATTCCAGCAATATGGCCTTCTGGGTTCAGGAAATTAAATATTCCAAACCAACTAAACACTTAAAATACAGGGGGGAAAATAATTGGCTTGCTAGACATAAGCACGGTTGTTTCTTATATTTCAGGAAAAGATTTGCCAAGTACTTAAGATGACTATTACTCCTTTGTCTCTTATAGGCCTAGGTCAACCTAATATTATTGCTAGCAACTCAAAAATATTAAGATGGTCAGATAGATAAAATTATGACATATTTTGCCCATATGTCATCCACCATACCTAACACACTATGGGAAAGAGACATACTGTAACAAATGGATGTACCATTAATCTCTGCTATGAACTAATATCATCTCAAATGCTTTAGATGGGTTTTAAACTTAAAGGAACTTGAGTAAACAAGCTCAAGACATAATTGGGCCCTTATTCCAGAAATCATACATGACAGACATAGCCTAAGGTATCAAAATTTCTCCTAGGGGCCACTGTCCACTGTTGACCCCATTACTTGTAAATCTGATGCTCCTATCTGGGTTAAGTAATAACCTTTAAATGCTGAGAGAATTGTAATTGCTACCTGTCTGGTAGAGGAAAAACTTAAATATTGGGCATATAAAGCCACCCACCAGCCTTTAAATCGCCCCAATATCTTTTTATTTAGGAATATCAGGATTATAGACTGTTACAAGACCTTAAGAAATTAAATATAATTTATTAAAGCCAAGGGGAACCTCACAGCCTGGCTTCCCATCTCCCACGGCCATCCCCAGAAACCAAAAAATAATTGTCATAGATGTACAAGATTGCTTCTTTACCATGCCTCCTCACCCTAAAGATTGTCAACATTTCAAATACTTTTAGCTTGCCTACTCACCCTGCCATGATGGAGGCCAAAGCCAATATACAGAACAGGAAATGTAAGTTCTGTTTATCCAGGACTCATTCTTTGAACAGAGTTCCTTATTTTATCCATACAGATTAACTTTCAGAACTAACTGTCAGTTATAGCTTCCTCACAGTCCCCCAACCTAATAATTATATGTGTGTATGTGTGTGTGTGTGTGCGCGTATCTTACAATAATTTCATTGCACAGACGATATTATATTTATGTCAAACTATGAAACTTATGAGTCTATAGAATGGCAAATAACTCTTCAGGATATACTGGCACCTTTTCTTATGTCTGTCCAACAATTACAAATTCTTTCCCTATGGAAGCTCACCATGAGGCTTACATCCTTATGATTTCTGTTTATAAAATACGAAGTAATACACCATTTATTTCAATGCTTTTCAATTTTAGGAATGCCTAGAACTCATATATAGACAACAGCCTTACATATACTACAAGAACTCTTAAGAATTGGTGCTTAATTTTTCATATCTCCCACTACAGGCATTCCTTATTACCCCCAGGCCAAGTCACAAAGTTACACCTAAGCTTCTGTGATCTTCTCACTGGTATTTGAAAAGGTCCTAATGTTTTCATACTGTCAGGAAGCGGATATGCTTACATGTCTTCACAGGACATTGACCTGCCTTCATGAATCCTGGATTGCCTGGTCACACCATATACTAGCCCACTGCAGGACAAAGGCGCTCTAAAGCTGCCAGACTGAATACAGACTGTTATTTACCTCTAGATTCTTAAATATTGAGTGTTAAATATAAATAAATTGATACAATTCTAGATCCTTTTGATGAACTGTTCATCAATGATATAAAACTTATAGAAATATGATTAGAAATAATAATTATCTTCTAAATGTATTTTATTAACTTTTGTCAAAAGATAATGAGACTTGAGAGATATATAAATGACACATTTCAGATTTCATTCTCTGGCTATCCTGATTCTGTTGAGACTCCAAGGATTCATATTTTGTCTGACAAAATTTACCACTGTTATATTGCTAACATATCTAA